AGATGATTATTACCTTACCCAATTGGGAGAATCTGTATGGGGCAAGTCTCTAATAAAGGCTTTTGTGTGTGTGTTTCCACAAATGGTCGCTTATTATTATTATTTTTTTAGAAAAAGAGGTTTCATCGATATTGTAAAGTTAGAAAATCGAAAGACAGTTAATAGTGACTGGTATACAACAAAATGCCTTCCAGCAGTATTTGAAAAAAATCAAACAAAGCGGACCAAGAGGTTAACATAGAGAAGTCTGGTGTCCAATTAATCACTCATCCACCATATTCACCAGACCTAGCACCTTGTGACTCTTTTATTTTTTTCCAAAAGTTAAGTTATTGTTGAAAGGGATAAAATTTGACACTGATGATGAAAAGCACTGTAAGCCTTTATCAATGCTGTAAATTCCATCCCCGAAGATGACTGGTGTAAATGCTTCGATAATTGGTTTTCACGGATGAAATCTTGCATAGGTGCTAAGGGTGAATACTTTGAGAAAATCTGAAAATTTGAAAGTTGCAGCTTTAATAAAAATAAGTGATTGCAGAAACTTTTGGAGTGACGACCTTTAGTGACCTTGTAATATGATGCATTAGTGCGCCATCTGTTATAATAAATTTGAACTATTTTTGTCGCGTATGTTTCTTTTTAGAATAAATTTTCTACTGTCCTTTACTGCAATGATAAAATAATGGGAGGGCCTGACTCATCAGTGGTGAACCCTCCCAGCGGTTTTGCCAGTTTAATCTATCATACCGCTGTTATATTGCATTTTGCTCTTTTCCTTTTATATTGATACTTAAGCTAGCCTCTTGGAAAGGTTTTTTTTTTAAATGAACTATGGACATGCGCCTTGAGGACAGTAGAAATACATATAATAGGTTGTTGACACACATTAATATGTTATAATACCTTGATAAAGGTTGGCGTTCAGCCAACTAAAATATCGGTAAAATAAATGATATTTTGATACAATATATGTATTTTTATTTAAATGATAAATATGTTTTTCCTCCCTCTCTCTCTCTCTCGAGCATTGCTCTTCCACAAATTATAAGTAAAATATTTTAAAAACACGTGTTAATATGATTATTAATAAATTGGATTCGCCGCTAGGTGGCCGGACAATAAACAGCACGTGCAGCACCGCTCCGGTAAATATAGTTATATTACTAATATTTCAGTGTATATTTGCCTTATACTATGAAAGGGATAATACGGTTACTCTTATTACTTGTGGTATGCAACACTAAATATGTAAATTTACTCAAGGTAACGCACTATGCAAAAATCTCAGTACGAAGGGATAATGATGGACAATGTGGTCAAAATATAAACTTACCATCTGGGAATATATCTGGTAACCAAAAAAGACTGCTATGTATCATTCTGGCTCTTTTATTTATCTCAGGCATTGAACAAAACCCAGGCCCCCCAACCAAAAGGCAAACTACATTGACTGCGCCAGTACACTCAGGAGAGAGAGAATCAATAGATGGCGAGCTAAAAATGCTAATCTTAAACATGGCGGCGGAAATAAAGAGTCTAGGAGAGAGAATTGACATCAGACTTACCAAAATAGAGACTCGAATGGACGATTGGGATATGCGATTCTGCAATATGGAGGAGAAGCTAACTAAATGTACAGAGTCTCAACAAGCTACCGAAAAATTGGCTTCATGTAATTCGTTAAAGGTAAATGAACTGGAGGCTAGAGTCGAATTTTTTGAGACGAGACTGCGTGAGCCCAATCTAGTGTTCTATGGTATTGAGAGGGAGGGTGACGAAAACCAGGCAGATTGTAACTTAAAGATTCAAAACGTAATTAGAGATAAAATGGAAATCGGAGATGATTTAAAAATAACAAAATGTCACCGACTTTCACGCGGATCCAATGCACCAGTTCTTGTTGTGGTGCCTGATTATGCTGATAGAGCAAAAATATTTAAAAATGCCTACAAACTCAGAGATACTAAAATTTCGATATGTAAAGATTATAGTAAAAATGTTAGAGAGCAGCGGCGCATCCTAATTGCAAAAAGGAAAGAATTGGGTGAAAGGGGAATAAAATCGAAGTTGAGAGATAACAAGCTTTTTGTAAATGATAAAGTCTGTAAAGTGATGAATGGCCAAGTTGTTGATAGCACAGGAGCTGCTATATAGCAACAACCTCGTAGAAACAATTGTGTAAATAGAAGAAATACGACATCAAAATCACAAATTAATTCTCCACCCAACAATCAAATAACGGAAAGTTACTTCGACACAAATACATGTAAATTCGATTTTCAAGACGCTGACAATGCAATTTTTTCTGAAAATTCGCGAGACATCGCGGAAAAAATAATATGTTGGAATATAAATGTTTTCTATAGGATTCTTTCGATATTTCCACTCCTCGAGCACATAAAGAATTACGAAATTTTTACTCTACTTGAAACATGGTGCCTGAAAATTCAGAAAAGGATGGCACTTGGTTATCTATTTTCTTATCAACAAACACAAGAGCCCTCCAACATGTTATCTGTTTGATATTTGTATACCTCCCTCCAAACCAAATATGTCTCCAAAAATGTCTCCATATATTCAAAAGCAAATAGCAGATGAATTTTTTTTTGAGAAAACCACACCAAGATGCTCTGCGGTGAGGACCCGATTTGTACCTTCTGTAATTCAAAACTAAAAAATGAAATCACTCACTATATTTTTGATTGCTATGCTCTGAAAGAAGAAAGAATAACCCTTATGCTCAAAACTGGGCAACTCTGTGCTTCACTTCCATCAATAATTGACAATATGACCCAGAATAAGTATATTGCTACGGCGTTTTATGGTTTCCACAAGTCCATATCTCAGAAGAAGGCCAAGTGACACTCACTCCTCACTTTCTTACTGCTACTCTTTTTGTGTTGTTTTTCTTGCTTCCCTCTTTCTCTTTCTTGTTTTTTTTCCTTTTCTTCTGTATATATCGCTATTTCCTTTGTCTCACTGCTTTGTTCTTATGCATACCTCTGGTGAATCCTGTATAGGGTCAGTGACCCTGAATAAAGGCTTTTTGTTGTTGTTGTTGATTATTAATAAATTAGGTTTTATAAAGTATACGGATATAATATGACAAAAAATGTTTTCAATATAAAAAAAAACTTTCAAAAATCTAATCCATGATATTTTATTTTATATATTATTTCGTTTTACAATTCAACTATCAAGCTAAAGAAAACACTATGCGTTGATTGGCTAAGAGAGAATATGGTTTTACGGGCTACTAACCAAAATGTACGATTTTTGAGCCCAAAAAAAAAAAAGGTACAGTAGAACCTCCCTGTAAAGGACAACACCTAATTGCAAAGCCAAAGTGTCCTTTAGAGAGAGGTGTCCTCTTACCAGAGAGTTGTTAAATAGTAAAAATGGTAATTTTGACAATCAAAACTGTCCTTTATAGAGAGGTGTCCTCTAGCGTGAGTGTCCTCTCATGGAGGTTCTACTGTATATGACCTTCAGCGCACACCCTATGTTCCCAGGTGGTCACCCTCCCAAGTACTGACCGGACCCAACATTGCTTAACTTCGGTGATCGGAAGAGAACCGGTGTTTTCAGATCACATGATAGTAGAAAACCAATCAGTGAACGAATAAACTGAACACCTCTACCCTCCACTATAACATATTAATTAATACAAGGCAATAAGGCACCATCTATATATAACGAATGAAGACATTAAGACGCGAATGTTTCTCTTCACAAATAAATCAAACTTCTACTGTCCTTACTACGATGAAAAATATTGGGAGGGCTTGGCTCATCAGTAGTGAACCCTCCCATGGACACCTCTACACACTTCACTGTATACAAATACATATATAAATTATATATTTATTAAATATATTGTTACGTAGAAAGAAAAGCGCATTCCAGAATGGAGAGATAATGTTTTAGAATGTTCAAGAAAAATGTAGAAAATCGGAGAACAACCGATTGGCCAATCTAAAGCGATTGCGCAACCGCTTTGTGCTGGCGGCTTTCTGATTGGCTGACTGACCAAGCGTGACCGTTCTGGAAAGATCTACTCCGGGATATATAGGGAGGAGAAACTCATGCAAGGAGAAGAAGAAGAAAGATAAGAGGTGGAAGAACGAAGCTACGTGGTGTACTCCAAGCAAGCTGCTGTCTCAAGAGGTCGGACTGCTGCTTTACCGTCGACGCCGGTGTACTTCTTGGAAGATTCTAGTAGGTTCTACGAACTTCTGTTCCTGTTCTGCTCCTGCTTTCCCTCACCGTGCTGCAGTTGGTGAGTTTGTAACTGCTGTTTTCTTTATTGTTGTTTTATTTTTGCACTCTTCTGTAATTATTTTATCGATTAGGCTTAAATAAAGTCCTAAAGATCCTTTGTACCCACGGAAGTTATTCTTTGTCAACCAACAACGCAACAATTTGGTGTCAGAAGTGGGATCTTTAGGTGAAGCTTGAATAATTTATGGTACTTACCAGAAAAATGGAAGAAATATTAAAAGCTATCCAAGCTCAAAACCAGGCCATGCAAGCTCAAAATCAAGAAACTCGCGAGGCTATCCAAGCTTAAAACCGAGAAACTCGTGAAGCCATTGAAGCTCAAAACCAAGCTCATCAAGCTCAACATCAAGAGCTAAAAGAAAGCTTGGGGCTTAAGTTCCAATGCTTAGAAGATGAAATCTCAGCTGTAAAAGAAGACGTTTCCTCTGTAAAAGAAGAAATGAAAGAAGAAATGGCTTCTTTAAAAGAGAGACTTGCTGCTGTCGAAACGGGCCATCCAAGATCTCCGGTTTTCCGGCAAGAGAATAACAATTCGGGTAGGCCTCTTGTCAAAGTTCCTACCTTTGATGGACAATCATCATGGACCTCCTTCAAAACCCAGTTCGATGTGGTTGCCCAAGCTAACGGATGGAACGTTAGAGATAAGGCAAGTTTTTTGGCTGCTGCACTTCGTGGACCTGCAGTGGATGTACTCCAGATGATTCCGGAACAACTCCGCCTAGACTTCAACTCCCTGATTGATACTCTGGATTCCCGATATGGAGAAGAACATTACCAACAACTTCACGTGGTGAAGTTCAAGAATAGACTACAAGAAAAGAAAGAAAGTTTGCAGGATTTGGCCAACGACATCCGATTAGCCTTTCCAACGTGCCCGTCTGAAACACAAGACTTTATGGCCCAACAACAGTTTATTGATGCCATCGGAGACCCTGAGACCCAAAAGTTTGCCAGACTTTCAAGTGCGACTACTCTGCAAGAAACCCTTGTCCAAGCCATGAAGCATGAAGCTGCCCAACAAGCCTCCAGAGAAAGTTATCGCGTGGCTAGACAAGTTAAATTGGATAATCCAGAAAGAGAAAAGGATCGCTTCTGGACCTGTCGAGCCCATGATCACATGTCTCCAACTTGCCCCCGAAAAGTAAAACAGCGCAGTGATACAGGTTGCTGGAAATGTGGAAAAAATGGCCACATAAGGAAAAACTGTCCAGATAACTCTAAGGATAAGCCTGAAAGAAAGAGGGGTTGCTGCTGGACTTGTGGAGCCCATGATCACATTTCTCTAACTTGCCCCAGAAAAGTAAAACAACGCAGTGACACTGACTGCTGGAGTTGTGGACAATATGGCCACACGAGAAGAAACTGTCCGGAAAATTCTGAAACCACCACAGCCCCTAGAAAGAACCATGGGAGACGGAATGATAATGCTGATGCCTTATCAAGAAGGCCATGTGTTCCACAAAGTGGACATTGTGCTCGTGCTGAAGAGAGATTTTGCGTAAGGCAAGTTACAGTGCAAGAAAGCGACGAAGTAGAAGAGAAAAATTGGACTGGCCAAGCTATGAGAAAAGCTCAACGTGAAGACCGAGATCTCTTGCCAATGATGAATTGGAAGGAATCAGGTGAAAGACCATCCTGGGAAGATGTAGCCTCGCACAGTCCTAAAACCAAAAGTCTCTGGCGCCTCTGGAATTCTTTGACCCTACGAGATGGTGTCTTATACAGGAAATGGGAGAGCGAGGATGGAAAGCATGAATCCTGGAAGTTGGTGTTACCCAGATCTCATGTACCTTTGGCTCTCCAGGAGATGCATAGCAGTCCCACGGGAGGTCACCTCGGCATCAGAAAAACATTGGTCAAAGTTAGAGAAAGATTTTGTTGGCCAGGAAGTCGAACTGATGTTGAAAATGGTGCAGAAACTGTACACGATGTTCAGTGAGAAAAGGACCGACACCAAGATCCAAAGAAAAGGTGAAGATCTACAATGTAGGTGCCCCATTTGAAAGGATACTGACCGTTCACCAGTGGGCAAGAGAAAATCTTCACTTTTCCAGTGAGAAAATGAAAGACAGGTACAACGTCAAGACTTCCAACAAGACTTTCAAAGAGGGTGAAATGGTTTGGCTCCATAATCCTCGACGGAAGAAAGGACTTTCTCTTAAACTTCAGTACCAGTGGGAAGGACCCTACAAGATCATCAAGTGCCTCAATGATGTCATCTATCGGATTCTGAAGACCCCGACATCTAAACCCAAAGTGGTGCACTACAACTGGTTAGCACCCTTCAGGGGTACTGTTCCAGTGCAATGGACTATTCGGGACGATCAGTCCTAAGGAGGGGGCAGTGTTACGTAGAAAGAAAAGCACATTCCAGAATGGAGAGATAATGTTTTAGAATGTTCAAGAAAAATGTAGAAAATCGGAGAACAACCGATTGGCCAATCTAAAGCGATTGCGCAACCGCTTTGTGCTGGCGGCTTTCTGATTGGCTGACTGACCAAGCGTGACCGTTCTGGAAAGATCTACTCCGGGATATATAGGGAGGAGAAACTCATGCAAGGAGAAGAAGAAGAAAGATAAGAGGTGGAAGAACGAAGCTACGTGGTGTACTCCAAGCAAGCTGCTGTCTCAAGAGGTCGGACTGCTGCTTTACCGTCGACGCCGGTGTACTTCTTGGAAGATTCTAGTAGGTTCTACGAACTTCTGTTCCTGTTCTGCTCCTGCTTTCCCTCACCGTGCTGCAGTTGGTGAGTTTGTAACTGCTGTTTTCTTTATTGTTCTTTTATTTTTGCACTCTTCTGTAATTATTTTATCGATTAGGCTTAAATAAAGTCCTAAAGATCCTTTGTACCCACGGAAGTTATTCTTTGTCAACCAACAACGCAACAATATATATTATATATTATATACTTATATTAATAAGTCTCGAGATATCGTTCAACCAGCACGTATCATCCACCATGTACGTATATTTTCAAAAAAATGTTTTTCACACACAAAGAATGTAGTATATATTTTTTCTATTAATATCATATATATTCAAAATATGTGAATAATACAATAACAACAACAATAACAAAAAGGCTTTTATTAGGGCCCATTGCCCTGTATGGATTCGCCATACAACAACAAAATAATACAGTATTTTTTTCTCCCTTTCCCCATGTGCACGTGAGCATTTGTTTGAAAAGGGATTTATTTACACATCTGTTCTAAAACTTTCCTCACTACTTCTTTTGCATATGAATCTATTTACAATTGATCTGTAGAAATTATAGAGTTCTATTGCTATATTTTTCTTTTCTGAAATAGTTCTCAGCGTCTGCAGTGGGTTGTTAAATATGTAAATAATAATTTGTATATAAAAATAGTATATATCATCAATTTGTTAATGTGATACTTCTGTTGAAGGACTGACAAGTCCGAAAGCTTGAACAATAAAAAGTTGAACAAGAAACTTAACCTTGGAAGCCTTTATTTATTTTATAACACATATTAATTCCCCATCCCTGGACACTTTAATTTTCCGTTTATCATTACTCTTCACAATTCATCCTTTCATACTTCATCCCTAAGGTTAGAAATAATTGTTATTTCTCCTTGGGATAAATTTATATTTTTTGTTCAAAAGAAACACATGCGGAATAATTTTCAAATATCGTTTTGCAATCATGGGCCGCATTATATTGTATTAACTGTTTATAAATGTATATTAGAATAGATTAAAAGATGAGAGACGGGTTTAAAAGAGGTTTAATTTTAACGAGAATCAATTGTAATTAAGAAGTTTAAATACTTAAGACACAAGAGATGATCTTCAAAAAAAAAAAGAGCAATTAAGAATATTTCTACAATAATTATATAATAATCCAATCAAAATTATGCTTCAATTATTTTATTAATTGCTAATTAAACGATTACAAAGTCTTTTATATGAATAATGATGGATCATTTAAGTTAGTTTTGAAAATAAAGGAACATAGGGGTGGAAGATTATAATGACCTTCTTTTACAAAAAACGTGGAGAAAATGTTCTAAAAAAAACACCTAATCTTATTAAAGAACTAATTTATTTTCTTTTAAAAAATTTAAGATTTTTTTTTTCAAGGTAGATTCTTGAGCAGAGAAAGAGAATAATTGAGTTAGAGTTTTTATATAGAGGAAAAGATAATGGTATTATAATAAAGTGATTTTTTTATGGATTATTTTAGAGTGCTCTCTGAAATAATATCCTTTGTTAGTTAAATGATTGTCAAATATAATCTGTGTTTGAGGATATTTATTCTGTTCTCGGCTTAAAACAAAGATTAAAAAAAAATT